TAAGTGGATGTTTTGACTATTTTATGACTTGGCTTGACAAAATTATGGGTGGCTAATAATTAATAACAATTTAATAAGTTATTAATTTGTATCATGCTTTGTAACATACAATGATCAAAAGCGGGATAATGGGAGGTCTAATATAAGAACTGTAGGTACACCCAAATAAAATTCTGTGTTCAAACCTAGTAGCTCATTAAACAGATTCATATCTCCAGTTTCCATAGCATAAATTCCGGGTCCTGGATGGGATACTCATCTAGGGGTTACCCCTCCCGTCAGAATTAAATTTAACAGGTGAGTACCATTTATTCTCCTGGTTCGAGAGCAAACTAAACTGTGTCTTACCCAAGAACATGACACAACACAATGAGCCAGCCAGGTTTGAACCCGGACAGCTCAATCCCATGGTCCAGTGAACTAATTATTTGGCTATTGCTCCTCTCATGAGATCTGATATAGACAAACATAATAAAATTACTGGGAAAAAGTATCGATTTTTCTTGAATTGCAAAATTGTGAGGAAAAATGCACAAATATTTAGTAAAATGCAGCAATGTGATATGAACTTGTGAGCTACAAAGTGGTACTTAATTTTCAGTTGAATTCAAGATTATGGTAATTTGGATTTTATCTCAGTCTATTTAATTGCTGTTTACAAAGCATTCTCAAAAATCAAGCACAAAATATCAGTACCAAAGTGGTTGCCTTAGCGTTAAAAGAAATGGAAGAAGCTTGGAAAATTATATGTGTGGTTACCTAATAGAGGTTTCATGTACAACCAGTGGTTAAACTGATCTTTTTAGTGTGAAATTTAATTGGGCGTATGACTACAGGTTTCTCCTCATGAACAGTGTATGGGATACCACAACTGTATTTTAATCCATCACCAGGTTAACATATGTGGAACCTGACCAAGTGCTCCATAGGGTTGGCTTGGTCTGGATTAAACATCTCATTGAGGAAGAGTGGTAGAACTCCTTCTCCCTGTAAACTAGAAAATCATTTTTTTTTAATTGTGTTTCATTAAACTAACCTCTCTTGTTCTATCCAGGATATGGTTTGGGAAAGCAATTTACTCAACACCATGAAGTAACAACAAGAGAAACAACACACGAGTCAGAACAAGACATTGCTGCTGACGACACAAGACATCTTGTAAGTGGAGAAGATTTTATCGTTGTGTTATATGAATTTTGAGAACCTGTAAAATAGAAACTTATGTAACCTATATGTATGAGTGTGTTATTCAAAAATTGCCCATACCCCTTTTGTTGAAGGTTTGTTGGTTTTAATCCTGCACCTTTTTGGAATTCCAGTTTAGCTTTATACCTTCCTTGAAAACCTTTGGTGTTTGAAACCTCTCTCTACATTGGAGTTTCCAATTAGCTTCCTTGGTGTTGGTCTAGGTATAATTTTGCTCACAAATGCAGGTTGCAAAGAGAACCAAGTTTTGGGCTTGCGCTGCCAGCAAGCTCGAAATACAATGCACTACATGTAGCTCGAAAGTAATTTTCACGAGTCCTCAAATACATTAATCTCTTAAAGTACTCCAGTTGTTAATATGAATTTCAGGACTGTCAAAAGACAATAAGCATTGAAGTCCCATCTTCAAAGGAAAGTGGTAAAAATGTATTCTCGAGGGCAAAGAAAACCATGTCTAATAATATTGTTTTTGTTCTTTGATTCAGGAAATGACAGATTATGGAGGTGGTATCCACCTTGTTAAAGCTGCTTTTCCATTTAATGGACGAGATGAAGATGAGGTATGAGTGCCACTCGTAGGCTTGTAACATTTTAAGCCATTATGCCCTTTCCTTGTTGGTTAAATGTGATAAATTTTATGGTTAGGAAAGGTAATGTTATCATCAAGGGGAAACTCAAATTTCCNTTTCCAAATCCTTGGTAAGCACTCTGATAGCGTAACTTACTACCATGTGTTCTAAAGAATGCATTCTCTTATAGTTTGCGCTCTGGAGAACGCTTTTTTCCATTTTTGTGATTCGTAACCGTTCCTTATCCGTTCTATTTCCGTTTGGTATTCATTCAGTATCCGTTCTGTATCCGTTCTGTATCCATTCTGTACCCGTTCTGTTCGCGTTCTCGTACCCATTCTGTATCCGTTCCGTTCCCGTTCGCAAACGCATTCCCTGTTAGGTTTCTTCTGATTGGTACTGTACAACCTTATTCATGTGTCGCATGGCATTGAGACTGGTGGTGATGATGATGATGATGATGATGAATGTTCTTGGAAGTTTGATGGAGCTATAAGTGATATTGTCCTACTTTTCTTTTTTGATAGCTTTGCTTTGAGAGAGGAGACATCCTAGAAGTCACTAAGGTAGGTGTTTAACCAATGGGGCCAATATATCTGCACATGTAAATTAGCCATAGTTGAGTAAGTGTTTGGTTGATTCGTTTTCAATATTTCTCTTTAGGCGGTGGATGGAGGATGGTGGGAAGGAACCTTAAATGGCAAAGTTGGATGGTTTCCCAGCAACTATGTCAAAGAAATATCAGCAAGTGTGTACCTCTCCTTTTGTATTGTTCTGCCTTAAGTACATGTATAAACGTGATGTACTAAAAACAGCTTTAGGATGTACCTGTATGTGTACGTACTAAAAAATACCGTTCATTTGTGAACAGGTCCTGAACCTACAACACCAGTTACACCNTGTTTGCATGACCCATTGTTGTCTTCATGTGTTATTATCTTCTAATCACTGTTAGCTAATAAAAGGTTTTTGTAAAAAATTCCTATATTGCCCTGTTTGTTATCAGCATAGTTGTCATGGTCACAAATCCCTGCTATACCATGATCTCTACAACATCTGCACTGATTAACTACTGTTTTAATGAATGTTCCTCTTTGACTGCAATTGATAAGGTTCAAGACAAAGCTAAGTGCAATGTTACTGCTGCGTCTAGTACCTCACAGCTGCAGCCTCAGGATGTGTAATTTCTTCCGATTTCAGACAAGTTGTCATGAGACGAGAAAAAGGAAAGAAACAGAGTTAGAAATGTTGACAGGGACAATAGAAGGATGGGAAGAAGAGGTAAAATGATACTGACAAGAACTGTTGTGAGATCTTGGCCAAATTACTTGACCAAAGAGTGAAGTTTTGACACTATTTTGGATAACTGCACGTACATAGAACAGAACTTCTACAATATGGAGCTGCTTGTTCTTGTACATTGTTATATCTGGGGTGGATCTTTCTTGCTTTACATTACATTAACATTACATGTTGTACCAGGTTACTGTTTCAGTGGATGTAAATGAAAAGCGTTTTCTCAGCTTTTTTCCTGATTTGTGCCGACAGTACCTTTATTAAATGTACAAGTACATTTTGTTGTGATTGCTTAAACACTAGAAAACAAGTTTGTATAGAAAGACTTAAATTTATTATTTGTGCTCAATCCATCAGTAATGACATATGAAGTTACAGTCTTGAAATTTTAGAGCCCTTAGTGGCTCAGTTAAATCTGAATATATTTTATATTGTAGAATGTAGAATTGATAAATATTGAGCATCTGTGTGAAATGCTTCAAGAGTCAATAACTGGAATTGTCATCTTGAACAATCACAAAAGGTATCCTGAAGATCTATTATAAAATTTCAACTATTTGAAACTTCAGACCAAAACTGCCTTGAACTTTAATGTTATCACTGACGAAATGAAGCCTAGACAGCTAATACAGCTAATACACTTAACAGGTCAGCCGCAGTATACAGACTCGTTCACTTGACTAACTTGAACTTCTGTTGATAATAGTTGATTTATTTATAAATGCCTGCTATATTATTAGTACTTATTGATTCCTTCCAGGACATTAGTAAAGAAGGAGATCTTATTTTGATGTCACAGTTCCTTATACATGGAGAAAATGGGGTAATGGCTTTGGTTATTTTGCTTTTAATGATGTTTTAAATGTCTAATTAAATCCATACTGGGTAGCATTTAGTTTCAGGCACAATATAATTGATGTCAAATTGTACTAAGTGACTGATCAGTTTGCAAAGTAATGGGATGAGAAAAAAATCTGAGGTCTACCAAAACAGACTTGGTTCAAGTTTCATGTTGTCATGTTTTTCTTCTGAAAAATAAGTTTCAACATAGAAAGGTCTTGCGAGTGTCAAAGTTACACTGATATTGTACACATTTTTGTTCTTTCAAGTGTTTTTTTTTTTTTTTTTGAAGCAGTCACAGTTAATATTTCTTTGTATAACTTGTATTTTAATGTGGTTCACCGATTGTAGTTTGATTCAACCAGGTCACGGTCCTAACAGTCAATTTGTATGTAGTCTGAAAATCATAAAATGATAATCTTGAACAGGATGCTTGGATTGTTTGCTAATTAAATAAATTATTGTTCAGTAACATCTCATCTATCAGGGGCTGAAGACATATGCTGTTTAGATCTTCTGAATGTTGTTTTAGCATACAATAGTGATGGCTAGTCTAATGCAGTTCTTTATTTTTTCTTGTCAACTCAATATCATTGGTTTTGGATGACCTGTTTTTCTGTAACTTTTAAACTTGTATTGAGTGTATTACATTATTTATTGGAGAATCTAGATGAATGGAATAGTGACCATAATTTTGCATCCTAATTCGGTTGAATTCACAGTAAAATAAAGCTGCCTAGGCAGTGGTTAAAACTTGTGGTAGTTTAAATGTTTTTATATATTCTGCTTACTGTACTGGCTGCTTTACTTGTAGTATACAGTCATGTAGTTAGCCAGAGTAGTTTGCACCCCATTGCTAAATAACAAATTGATAAATAATAATTAATAAATTGTCTTGATGCATTGGTACAAAAAAGACAGACAGCTAAAGAACTTATAAATACGATCTGTTATTTTCAAAAGGTCAGACAAGCAGGTCATTTGATCAATATCAGTGCCATATTCCTGAATGTTTTGTTTGAACCATGGGTTTACAGTTTGTTGTTGAACTAATGAATTCTCTTATCTGTAACAACAATACTTAACTTACATTATCAACAAGACCTGACGCATTTTGTGTATTTTCCACCCAGGAGGTCCGAGAAAGATCATTTCTTCTGTTTCCAAACTGTCTGATTATACTTTCAGTAAATGCAAATGCCTGTGGATATAGATTTGAGGTAAATTTGGACATTTCATATAGTTACACAGTTTATGTGCAGTAGCTTATAGTGTGTTCTATTATAATTCAGGCAGGTATTTTAGTCATAGCAGTGTTTGTATGTAAGTTGAATTGAATTTGTCGAGGAGGTGTTACGATATCTTTTGTTCTATTGAACTTTGGCATTGTTAATTTCGTTGTATGCAGATCTTTATTGTAATCATGAAGAGCAAACAATAGTCCTTATTTAGATGTTCTTTCTTATATTTTTTCAATTTTTGTACTTGATGCCATTGACATCTTTGTTAACAGCTTATAATGAGATTATACACATGTGTAATGTTTTTGATCTCTGCAATTTACCTTATCAGGGAAATGATCAAATCACTTTTTTCATGTCACCTGTATAGTTAACATTGTATAGATACTGGAGGATGAAATTTGATGTTTATCTGATAACCCTTAAAAATTACAAAATCATTTGGTTCACTGTTATGTAGTTATCAAATGAATTATATTCGGCTTCTCATACTGTAGACCTTTTTTAGTCGTGTTAAATAGATCTGTTGTTCACACCTGTTATTTGATCTCATTACAGAAAAAGTATGACCTTTCAGACTTGACAATACGTTCACTGGAAGATTCAGAGGGCATTTTGAATGCATTTGAAATAAAAGGCAAGTGAAAGTCTTGCAATATTTTCTTTTTCCTTTTAATTATCTTGTTCCTGAAGGAACTGCCATTTTCTCTTATTGCATAGTACATGTCTAGGTTTTTTAAATCCTCTGTAATTATCCCCCAGCTCCCTTCACAACCCCTGTCCTTTCCCTTCACAACCAAAACAATAAATAGCACCTTTTTTATATACCTATACAGTTTACATATACCAATTGATCTGGAACTTAAATTGACAAACAGAACTTTTGTGCTAATGAACATGAATATTCTCTGAAGCTCCTTGGTTTATTGTTTCATGCGTGTGCAAATTCAAAAGCAGGCAACATCCTTCTGAGACACTTCTTGGATCCCCATAGACCTACAATATTATTTACCTCATCATTATTTTAGGGATTTTTTGGGGTTGCATCAGACAGATTATTCATGTCCTATATTGATCTTGCAGTTAATGGAGATGTCATGAAACTGTCTACGAACCACGCCCACGAGAAGACAGCATGGCTTGACACTGTTCAGTTCCCTGGTCAAAGTCCCAAGGTTCGCCAATCCTCGGAAAAGGGTAGTGTGACATCACCATCACCCTGGGTGGAAAGACATCCTGCGTCACTATCAGAACGGACATATTCAAAATCAAGTCCTCCTCGAAGTGAATCTATTGGTTCACCGCCAAACTCAGCTACACCCAAGGGGTCTCTTAGTACTTCTGGAGTGCATTCACAGGTAAATGTGATATTTAACAGGAGGTCTATACAGTGTGTTTGTCAACATTTTTTATTAAAAAACACGTCAATGTAATCGGTTAATTTTTACTTTATCATATAACAGTCTTCCAGTGATGGATCAAAGTTTCGTTCTGGGTCAACATCACATTCAGTAGCCACAGACCTGACGACGTTCAGCTCTGCCCCTCACAGTCCAAACAGAAAAGGACACTGGGATTTCACAAGGCTTAGACCCACCCCTCCTCTGAGGCCAGCATATGCACTGATTGCTAAGGAGGTACATGATACTTTGCCATTATTGTGCATATTCTTGTAATAATAACTACTTATTAACTGAGAGTGAGGTCTTTACAGGAAGTTCTCAGACCGAGACCTTGCCGTATCACTCAGTCAATACAGCAAGGTTGAGGTTTGAGGTTTCAGATTTTCCTGTTATGACCGAACGTATAAGGTCAATAAGTTGTTTAGCACATGGCATTTTGCTTTGTTTTTGAAAGCCTGTAATTGGCCCGTGGGCATTATGGGAGAATAATGCCCTACATTTAGCCAATCAGAGTGCATGTTATATCGGCTACAAGAGCAGGCCATATAATAATATTGTGCAATCCTTTTCTGTGGTTAAGAAAGCTACCTTTGATTAAAAAAAAAAAGAAACGTGCTAACTGCACCTTTTGATGACACGTGAACTCTGGTCATTCAACAGTTTTGTGTTTCACTTTTGTCAATTGTCTTAGTGGACCTCTCGGGAAACAGGTTAATGTTTAAATGAAAGGTTCAAAAGGGCTACTGAATCCATTTGCCTTCCCTTAGAGTAGCCCACAGTATGTCCTGTCGTTTAAAACATTCCCTGCACAAATCAGCGTGTAAGGTCAACACATTAATACAATAAAGGCAGCCAAAAGTCTAGTTTAAATTGTTTATTGAATTATAAAATTTGATTATTTCTGTGAAGGACACATCCACAGCGCATCGCTCCATGAGAGGCTTACTTCACCCGTCAAGGAAAAAGCAAGGTACATGTAAAGACTTGTAAATTGATACATCATACAGTACATGTACTTTTATGGGAAATACTCCATACCACACCTCTAATAGGCCATTTCCGAGTTGCCTTTTGCCCTTGTGTCAGAATGAATCTTTGTGCAAAACCATTCATATGAAAATGTTTTTGGCCTACATTTTCAATTTCATGCAAGTCAAGCTAATTTTCATATGAAAGGTTTTGCACGAGGACTAATTTTGAAACAGCGGCACAAGGTACCTCGAAAATAACGTATTAACACCACATGTTTATTTTGAGTCAGGCAAGAGAACTGTAGGGCCATCTCCATAGTCCACACACACACAAAAAAAATTGCACTTGAGCTGTGAAGGACTGAAAGTTAGGAGTTAGCAAAAATGTTCTGTATGTTGCAACTAAAAAAAGACACAAAAATGTACGTAAAAAGGTGTTTCAAGGCAGCAATTCTTTTCTAAACTCAAAATTGACCTATCAGTCGTGTAGTTCATTTTTGCCAGTTTTACTACGAAGTAAGGTCTACATTTAGTTGGCTGAAGAACTTACTATATTCCAAATAGAAAACTAGTCCTAATTGTTTTAAATATATGTATCCTGGTAGTTAATATGTATCACAGTTTAATTTAGAATGAAGCAATGATGCATCATAGATTATACTGTAGCTTAAAAACCATTTTCCCTAATGATCTTGTCTACTAAATTTAACGTTATAATCTGTATGAATTACATAGAATAATAACATCACAGACACAAAATCCTCTGCACAATCACTTTTACACTTCTGTACTGTACAATTATATCATTTACAAATTCAAATAAGAAGTAAAAAACATTTATAAAAGAAATAAATTTGAAATGAAATTATTTTTTCATGGCAAAAGTAAATGTATGATTTATTGTTAAAACTCAAGAACAGTTATATCAAAAAAAAAATGCACTGTGGTGATTGCTTCTTTAAAGAGGTTTTTGATGAAAACAAGGGAAATAAGATTATAAAACTGTCTACTACAATGTAGGTTGATCTTTAACTGCTTTCATGAACATTGACCTCTAATGTAATTGTTTAGATTTTAAATTGTTTTTTCAGCAGGAATTGCTACCTGAAAAAAAGTTGTCACTGTGATTTTGTGAGCATTTTTGCAGCCTATTTTCAGGCATTGAGTAAGAGTTTTGTTCTGATTAAATCAGAACAGATGAAAGACAGGTTACTTAATAATTTCTTGGTTCTTGTATCTATTCAGACTAAAACAGATTGTAAACATGGCATTGTTACTTAAGACCTGAAGCATTGCAGCATAATAGAGCTGCTTGAAATGCCACCAAAATAATTTATAACCTCAGGCAATTCCTGTTGAAGAAACAAGTAAAGTTTATGGGTTAATCTTGTCAATTAAACGTCTGAACTAACATGAAAAACCTATCTCCTCCCCTTCAACCAGTTTCCATCTCAAGGCCAAGTTTCAGAGGTGACTGATAACTTCTCTTCTAGGTTGTCTTACTCTTAATCCGCTTACATCTTTCAAATCTTGCACCTCAGACTGTAAGTAATCTTTCAAAATAAAGTTCTTAAACCCCTGCCTCCTTTAAGGGCTCAATGCTTAAAATGTGCCCGTAAACGATCTTTTAACTTGCTGTTAATGCTCTGCTCTGTTACAAATAAAAGCTTTAAATTCTCACTACAGAAGAAATAAAATTTTAACTAAATTTAACTGTTACTGATAACTTGCAGTGGAGTTTTCTTTAACACCCATTTACGTGGTGTATTGAATTTTAGGCGTGACTCAGACAAAATTGAATCCATGTTTGATTTATGCTTATTTGCATTTTATGTGTCTGAGAATGGGTAAAAGTAAATAAACATGGGCATCCAATTTTTTTGAGCCATGCAACTATTCCAGTTTCAAGTTAAATGTAAACTGTGCTATAAGAATTTCAACAGATAATTCAAAGTGCGGTATGCATTGTAATGTGGTTGGGGGTTAATAATTTATTTGCTCTCCCATCGCCCTATGTGCCACACCTCCATGATGGGCAGTAAGTGAGAATTAGTGTGGAATGACACAGCTCAGGCAATAAGCGTAATTTTATGTTTAACTTAGAAGTCTGTAATTCTAACCTGTAACAATCACACAAGCTGTTTATACCTTGGATTTGCTGTGCATTGTAAAATTATTTGTAAGTGAGTCTCTAAATAGTGATGGAAGTAATAAAAAAGGTTCTCCCTTTAGTTAATAATTATTTAAATTTCAATCTGGCATGACAATTTAAAATAGCTGCCATCTTCCTTAAAGTGTTTAGATAGGATAAAGTGATTGTAGAAACGGTTATGAGATTTCTTACAAAACGCACTCTTGTATTTTTTAAGGTCGATCAAAGAGTGAACTTGAAGATGACAAGCACAGTGGTAGTTCAGGTATGAGACAAAACAATAAGCTGCCTCATATGTACTGTGTGTTTGAATTCCATTTTTATCAAGCCTAAAATTTTGTGACTCTGTTAACATAAGCAATTTAACAATAATATTGTTCACTGTACCCAAATTCGCTATTAGCCAATCAGAAGCCATGTCTACTGTCCAATATCCTGCGAAATCAATACTGACCCTGTATTGCTACGATATCATGGTCACTTGGCCGAATTTGGGTACCGTAAATATCTAATGGTATGATTCAGCAACATGTCAGGGTTGTTTGGTCTTGCCATGGTATTTATTTATTTCTACGGCCCATGGCTTGAAGCATACCAAAACTGGCATGATTAGGTATAAAAACCAATAGTTATATGGAAACTTTGTTTAAACATTTCAGGAAGTAGTCGTGTATTAGAGGAAGATATGCTTATTCTTCGGGTCGTTGAAGCTTACTGTACAAGTGCGAGAGCAAGACATACGCTAAACAGTAAGTGTCAAGTACTATCCTTGTAATCAGATTTTGTTTCTCCAGAAGCGATC